TTAGTAATTACTGTCAACCAGTAGGTGACAGTTCAGTAGTTGTCATTAAATATATTAAGGCTGACGTTCAGGTTCAGAACTTCCTTTTCTGTAGCTCTAAATGATTTCGGCATCTGCAGTTCAACTAGAAGAGAGACCAGACCTCTCTCCTCTTGCCCCCTCCCTACCCATTCTCCTGCTCAAGAAATCAAATCTTCCTTGGGCATCACTAGGTGTCACTACTGGGTGCACGCACACACACACAAAAAAACCCTCCTCAGGAGCTCAGCTAATTCCTGAACTGATTATTCCACTGGGAGGAAGAAATACCCTTTCCCAAAGAACTACGCAATTCAAAACTTGAGGATGAATCTTTCATGCGTGAATTTTACAAGCCATGGGACGTGTGACTGACGTGTTACACCATCACACACAACCCTGATTAATGCATGTTGCACATCATTGATTGTCATCTGAGACAGGTTTGAGCCTGGGACCACACACATAGGTTTGAGTGTGACGGTCCTCTGCTCACCTCTTCCTCTCTGGAGACACACAGAGACAGAAATGTCACACGAAACAAGAGCTATGTTGTCTGAAAGAAGAGTAGTCTTGAAACATGTCCTGGGGAGATATCAGCTTGGGGTTGGGCTAGACTGCAGAGAGGGTAAGGACACCTGCTCCTCCAGGCCTGGCTGCTCTCAGGCACAGAGTGGGATTTACAGCAAAGGAACAGATGGAGAACAAGTAAAAACCTTTATCATAGGAAGTCCATATGCATTGCAGTTTTAGCTGTGCTGTTGTCCTATTTAATATGTGGAGTCATCCCAGCCCAGCTTTTCCACTTGGAAGCCGTTAGGCAGCTTGTAATAAAAGCATATAACTAAGGTAGTTGTGTTGGTTTAATCTTTTGTTGAGGTTAAAGACCAAACCGAGTTATCTACAATGTGGATCCCTTCCACTGGGGGCTGCTTCCTGGCCACATATGTGACACTGCTGTCCCTGAGGTCCTACACACAACAAACGTGGCAAGTCCCATCACGAGGACATGCCGAACCACGGGACGTGTCTCCTGCTCCAGGCACTGCTCCCCAGCCAGCGACCACATCGGGCCGTGTTAGCTGAAGTTTGCTACGTGGCTCCGACCCGGAGGACCAATAAAGCAGATGACTGATGTTCAGCCAGCGCTGGGCTGTGCCAGGGCCACGCTCCCTGACCTTGCTCAATCTGCACGCTCTGCGGGCTGCATGCTGGCTTTTCCAGTCTTTCCACTTTCTCTGCCACAGGCTTCCAGGCAGCTGCCAAACACAATTGCCTCTACCTGTACTTTAAAACTTACCTTTTATTTCGTGTGCTACTAGGCTTAGAACTGGAGGTCAGTATAGTTACAAATATCTTATTCCAGCTTTACTACCAATTGTACAAGCTTTGCAATGGAATCAATGCTTCCATGTTGGTACAGCAAAGTCCATCAACTGTCACAATGCCACAACACACCACCTTTGTGTCACCAACCCCAAAGAGCAGCAAAACGCACCTTACACAAAGGAGGGGATGCTGCCAAAGCACAAAGAACCTGCCCTTGCCATGGCTGGCAGCATGCACACCCGCAGCTTTGCTCTCATGCAGCTTCTAACCTGGGGAAATAGCAGACACTAAGCATCCCCCCTGCCCTCTGCCTTGGGTGGGAAAGAACGAGACATGGACATCCTCTAAAGAAGAGAGATGTGGCTTTAAATGGCTTTAAACAGAAAGAGGGGAGATTTAGATGGGATATAAGGAATATATTTTTCACTCTGAGGGTGGTGAGGCACTGGAACAGGTTGCCCAGAGAAGCTGTGGCTGCCCCATCTCTGGCAGTGTTCAAGGCCAGGTTGGATGAGGCTTTGGGCAACCTGGTGTAGTGGAGGGTGTCCCTGCCCATGGCAGGGGGGGTGGGACTAGATGATCTTCGAGGTCCCTTCCAAGCCATGATTCCATGACAATGGCATGTCAGTGACTACAGAAAACACCTTTTACTGTATGTAGTTTGCAAGCACAGAGGAAAAAAAACAACAAACAAACAACAGACTTTTCCAAATGGCCACACACATCATTTTCAACACAAAATAAGCTGAACCATTCTAAAACACATTTTTGGGCCAAATTTTAAAGACTTTGCAATAAATTTGAATGAACACCCATGTCTAAAACTCATGAAAGGTAATAAAAATTTAAAATGGGCACCCAATCTTTGCCAAGGAGATGCTTGAACAAAAATAATGCATGTGATTTTTTTTTTTGTTTTTTTAATAATTCAACACAGGAGAACGGATGTAGAGAAAAGTACCCTCAAAACCGTTTGTAAAGTTGAAGTTAATGTGCAACCAATGCTTGTGCCATTGTCCAAGGATTAGGAATTGTGCTGCCCTTGCCATGGGCAGGGGTCAGAAAGGGACTCACCTGGAGAGACTTAATGCTCCTGCTGGGACCCTGCATGGAGTAAGCAAAAAGAAATGCTGCTGCCAAGGGTGACTCCAGACTCTCCCCCCAGCAGCAGCTGCCAGTCTGCCAATCCAGCCTCTTGGCACTGGTCATTTGATTGCCTACTGCTCAGCACAGGCATGCAACTTCAGCTGTAAACTGTTTCTGTGTGATATCTCTGTACAACTAGATACTAATAATATAGTATGATACTAATAATATATCTCATTTGCAAATACACAACACCCAAACCTTTGCCATGTAGCGAAGCTGATTAAAGAACAATCAGTTCATTCTCGATATCTCAATGCAACCCACGAAAAGCCCACAGGTACTTAATACCAACTTCACTTAACTGTAAGTTTTTTATACCATCTGGAACCGTCATCCATTGCATTTTTGCTTCATTTCTATTTTGGCTCCGTCAGGGTGCACACCAGAGAATACTTCCACAGAAGAAGCATCTTGAAACAGCAATGACTGCAATAGTTACAGGACAATGTTCACATCCACACTACCACTGCTGGCATCCAGCACAAACACAGGTTGATGGCTTGCAGAGCACCAGGAGCAGTTCATGACTATTTACACTTCTCAACTCCATTGTACCAAAAGCTTTTAAGTAATTAGTTTTCCCTCATTAACAGATGCACTGCCTGGGGAAGGGCACACAGGTGCTCCCAAGCCCCATCCTGGATTACAGGGCAGCACGACATGCTATTGGAGTGGAAAGCTCAGAAATGCCAAGCAGGACTGATGAGGAGGGCAACGCAACCACAACATTTATACAAGCAGGTTATTCCCAAGGAAAAACTGCAGGTGTTATTTTGGCAAGGTCAGAGACCATAACAGCAACAAAAATATTCGCAGGACGTTACCCTAAACCCCACGTATTTAAACCAAAAGGATGAACAATATTTATCAACATCATTTTTATGGAGACTCAAACATACTTTGTGAGACATCAGGTGTCATAGTGACTTTTTGCTAAAGCTGCATCCTATCCTAAAAGAAGCAAAGTTTATACACCTCGTGTACAGAAAGTAACCTACAAATACAGTCAACGGGGTGAGTAGAGCTGTTCCACTGCAAGAACATCTCTAATCAAATATGTAGGGTTTGTACCTTCTTACTGACACATCTAATACGTTATTCCATTTTTCTCTTTTATACTTTTAGAAGCAAAACAGATGTTTGGTAAAGTCTAATTTATCAGTAATGCATTCAAACACATCACTAAGAACTGTGTTGCTAAAACTACATTACAGAAAAAACAGGTAAAACAGACATTATTATCTCCTTGAAAAATATGGGCCTTATGCTACAGCACCTACTGATGTGAGTCTATTGAAACCAACCGGATTACTTACATGAATAAGGATTACTCCCATGATTCAGGAGTGCAGGATTACACCCATTGTTTGTTTATCTCCTGTTATTTACATATCCCTATTTTCACCTCTTGTTTCTTAGAACACAGGGCATTTAATTCCTGTTAGCACCAGATATCATTATGCTGTATGTTCATTCCTTCAATATTTGGCTGTCTTTTGGGTGTCAAATAAAATGCTTTTATGATCAAAACAGAGAAAATAAAGTAGAAGCGGTAGAACCTGGATTATGTAATTAAAAACGAACAAATAAAAAGAGGGAGAGCTTGTTATCCGCAATCCAAACTTATTCATGATTCATTTCATATTCACTCTCCTATCCATGGCCTCTGCTCTTGGGAGCTTATTATTTATATCAATTTTTTAACTGTGCCAAGTAGTGAGTTACCTGAGAGTCGTCAGGCAATGCTGATAGTATCACTACTGGAAAATAACAAAAATCAGAAAAACAATTGAAACAAGTTTTATAGGTAGGTATACTGATAATGAATAATAAAGCAAAAAGCATTTTCATGCTTTTCACCTTATAAAGAAGTGGTGAGTTTAGTCTTAGTTCATCGCTGATAGGTGCTTTATATACAAAATATACCTCCTTCCTATCCTTAGAAAAATTGGGTAACTCATCAATGCTTTTCAACTGTTCTGTGATACAACAGAATAGTTAATGCACGGTAAGAATGTTATGCAGGTCTCAGTTCCTGTTCCCAACCTATTCAGGAATGTATTTAGCTGAATAAAGAGCAACAACACAAGTTACACCTCCAGCAGGGAGCTAGCATTTCTTTTGAAATACTTTTGAAAAGTAAAAAGTGACACATTCTTTCAGATTCTCCAGTTTGACACTGAATTACATTAGTGCCAGTTTTGGTTGCAGAAATCAGACTTGGATCACACATGTGTTTTGTTTTAGTGGTGTGCTACAGGGATTTGAAAATTTAAATAATACGAGTTAATTTAAGAAGGCTAGATCATAACTTTAGTGTTAGCTCTGTGCATACTGTTTACATGTTTCCTAAGAGTTAAAAACATTGAATGCCTTTTAAGTCATTTCAAAAGCAAAAAGAATGCAGACTGTTTTTAGAAAGAGTGGTAAAACACTGCACATGATAGCTACTGTAAACAGAAAAACAGAGGATTCAGAAAACATCAAAAGTTGCACAAACTTACCGAAGCAGCCTGTTTTCTTCCAAGAAGAGCAGTTTATGGTCAGGTACATTTGAGTTACAAAAGACTGTGCTTCCCGGGTCCATTTTGCACAGGGCTTAACCTGAAAATCCACCCAAGCGTGTCGGAGGCAGGGAGGTTTTCCCTCCGCGGACGGCATTTGGGGGCTCCGCGGCGATGCGGTGGCCCGACGCGATGGGCGATGGCCCAAGCACAGCCGGGCCAGCTGCCACTTGTTGCAATGGTAACAGGAAAAACCAGGATCTGCCTGCTCGGGCTGCGGGAGCATGAATAATTCATGCCTTCCACCTCCCCGCATTAGCATGCTGCTCAGGCAACTCCAATGAAGCAATTCATTTGGTCCTTTGTCTTCAAGAAAAGCTTGCTGGATTAATGAGGGTTATCTGTGATGATAAAACCTGGGCCTGCTGATTTATTTAGCCTGATTGGTTAGAATTTGTGTCCCTAAATGCAGGTTTTACGGCCGGAGTATAAATCCAGTTGCGCGTTCCCAACCTTACGTAGGTAGGCAGGTGTGGGTAGTTTGGCTACAGCAACACCATCGAGCTACAGCACATGAATGTTTCATTTTCTTGACTTCAATATTGAAGCTGGGCTCTTTGTTTCCGAGTGCTTCTTGGGGAAAGTTAAGAAGAAATCTCCATGTACTCTGCTTGCCCGTGGATTTGAGCATATTTCTGCAATGACCTCTTGGACTGCGAAATAGCTAACACCTGGCTTCCACAATGTTTGCCTTCGAAGTACAAGATAAGGGAAAAAAAACTGCCATGGAAGACAGCAAATTTAGAATCTACTTTTTAAAATATAGTCACACCTAGCAGTTCATTTTTAAACGACAGTTTTTCAATGTGAGATTTTAATTTCTATTTCCACTTTTTTAAATAATTAGCAGCAGCACCATTATTCTCCTCAATGTTTACCATCCAGAAATCTACAATAACTGAAAATAATGATAATAATAAAATAATCACAATTCTAATCAATTGATCACAAAACTAATAATTGAATACAATGAAGGATTTTTTTAAGCATTTATTCGTGTAGTTATATAATGCATTATTGGGATGTATAAACACTGATTTTACCATTTTATCCAAAATTGCTAAGAGCAGTACTGGAATATCGTATTAGTTTTGGTATCCGTATTCGAAATAGGACACTGGCAAGTGAGTGTAGAAAATAGCTGCAGAAATTGTTTGAACTCACTAAGGATAAAGGTCTTAAAAATATGTGATTCAAGCTGGTTTGCTGTCAAAAAGGATATCGAGAGTTAACTTGGCTACAGTGTACAAAAGGCTTTACAAGGAGAAAATACCTCAGATGACAGAAGTACTTCTGAGGAACATATTTCTAATGGAGAAGGTAATTACCTCCTACAAAAATCTGAGTACACTAGTGACCTCTACATTTCCTACATACCATTCTAGAAGACATGCTTCTGCCAAACAAATAACAAAAAGTTATTGGACTCAGAACAGGCATAAAGACTTCAAATATAGAGCACATAAGAACAAACTTAAAATCCTTTTGGCATTGTATTGTGTTCTTGTAGCTCATTGAAGTCTACAGTACCTGGCTTGCTCTCAGTTGTGTATGGTGATTTTGCTAATCTTTAAATAAAAAAAAAAAATTGCAAGGATTTCAAGATTTCATCCAGAGAACCATCACATTGTAATGCAAATTAGGCTGATGAATGTTTCATGGCAGACCTCATAATGTTTGCTGCTGAGCCTTTCTAGAACAACCCAGGTGGATGCACTTTCCCTCCCCACCATTTTCTTGCATTCTAGTTAAGACAAGAGAGAAAAACAACTGGGAGTACAAGGATATGAAATCACTTGATTTTGCCTGAGAACTTATAAGTAAAGCTTATTTCTGCCTCTAATATTTCTGCCTCTAATATTCTAGTCTGTTTTAGACTGTGAAAAGCACAACTTTATTCAGTCTTTGATATAGATGGGATTGAATGACTCGCAAGACTTTGATCACCAGCTTAAAACTGCAGCAGGGACAGAACAGTTTCTGATAATCTGCTAGATTTTGGCATAAACGAGGATTTGCTGTTTCTTCCAGACTGCAGGTGCAGTCAGAGTTTCAAGGTGGTGAATACAGAGATCACTGTTGAGGTCACCCTTTCTTATGGAGGACTTCTAACAACAGCCAAAACATGTTTTCACCTGAAATAATGCTATTTCTTCACCTGCACTAAATGTTGAAAACATCCTTTAGGATAAGTGCAACATTAAAGGAAAGGTTAGGCAGAAAGGGAGAAGATAGCCAGACAGATGCTGGTCAACTCAGTCCTGGGAAACATTTCCCCGCAGGATGTACCAAGATGGAATTTGCTCTTCATTTTGTATAAATAATGATATCTCTGGCTGCAGCTGTGGAAGGGGATTATGCAGGTCGATATCGGTAGAACAGCTTCAGTAATGAAGTTGGCACCTCCTGCAACTTCTCTAGAGGTCTTCAGGTAGATGGTGAACAGGAATGGGTGCCAGAGCTACAGAGGACAAGGGAACAGCTGTCTTTTGATGCTATGTGAGTTTTGCCTGAAAAATTGATTGACACAGTTGTAGCTCAGACTTCCTATTCAGCCGATGTCACGTATGCAAGTCGGTGACAAATTACGGTTGACTGTGCTTGAAAGCTACAGAAATGTTGAGTAGCACGAGCAGGAAGATGGGGTTCCTATCCGTTGCCATCAAAATGTCATCTTTTAGTGCTGTTGACAGTTTAATAGCTACTTCTGTACGTTGGAGAGCATTGCGAAGTACTGCCGCTATATTATTAACCTAGGCTGGAACTTTCCTGCAAATGCAGAGCAAAACACCACAAGAATGGAGCTTCTGAAATAGTTTAAGATTAAAGGTGTGCTGTTCACAACATGAATCTCTCTAGTTGCGTTTCAGGAGAACCCAGTAACACTTTAACCCCCTATTACGTTATCATATGGGTTTTTTTTTTCAGATCAACAACATGAATCTCTCTAGTTGCGTTTCAGGAGGACCCAGTAACACTTTAACCCCCTATTATGTTATCATATGTTTTTTTTTTTTCAGATCAGATTGATTCCATTCCATTTTAAACATCCAGATGATGGCATTCGGTTCAAATCAAGTATTTTTAATCCCATTTATTTCTTCTAGGCATCTGAGATGGGATGTGGATACGGGGGAGCTACACAGCCTCCGGCTGACCTGTGTGGTACAGCACGTAGTGCTCCAGTGGGGCTACATCCCTTCAGTAAGTCTCCACTGCTTATAAAAAAAAGGCTTTGTGCAAAGTTGCACTCATGTATGTAATTACTTGAAACCATTCCTGGAATACACTAAATTGTATCATACCTGTGAAACGGTTTGCGTGGCCCCACTGTGTCACAGTTCAGAGAGGACATGTACAATATCACACGGATTAAACGTACTGTGTAGCTGGGGAGGAACAGGGTGATCCTGTGACTACAGAAAAGATTTGGGATTCAGGAGATCCGAGTGTGACTGTCTATTGATAACTTTAAATTAGCTATCACTGTAGTATCTGGTTTCTGTCAAGGTATTGCAGAAAAATCAGTGAGATGCATCTAGAAGGTTAGTGAATCAATTCTCTGCTCCGCCCATGGGCTGACCCTTCCCTGTTGGCTGTCTTTCCGCGTGTCACCTCAGTTATTTGGGCTTTTTTGTTGTTGTTGTTGTGGTTGTTGTTCCTTGGCACCGTTGGCAGGCCACGTGTTCCCTGCCAAGAGGTCTGTCTATGGCTGCCACCTACTCAAGGTGGCACCTATCCAAGGCGGTCAAGCTGGCTTTGGGATGAGACACCGAACGGTGGTTCTTCTGGCACGTGGCACCAGAAGGGGCAATGCTCCAGGACGAGGGAGGAAAACACCATTAGCCAGCCCTGGAGAGCCGTGGTAATGTGGTGGCAGACTTGCCAAAGCCAGGGTTACGCATTCTGCTGTGACATTATTCCCCATCTGTTTTTTCTGAAGTGCTAGGAAAACAAAGCATTACCAAAATGTCAAGCTGTGAAAAGAAAAGTCAAAAGCCAGAAAATTCAAAGTTAATGCTGATTCTTTAACTCAAGTCATTAACTCAGAGGCATGCCTGAAGTCTGGGCAGAAGCCTTAGCTGAACTCTTGCTGGTTTGTGTAACCAGCTGAGGGTTTGCACATCCGAGGGGGCACAGATTCATCCATGAATATAGGAGGGGAAGAGGGACTGGCTGAGTTTAGAGGCTGGATGTCACTGGTGTGGGGAAAGAGAGGGGCAATCAAGAGGAAGATTTCCTGAGAAATTAGGTAGGGGAAGGGAGGTAAGAGAAGAGAGAAGCTCATCCCAGAGACTGGCAGAAAAATAAAGATTAAAGGCACTGACAAATGAGAAACCCAAGAGAGGAGACAGGAGTTAAAAGGTGGCCATGGAATGAAAGAAGTTCAGACAGGAAAGATAGGGAATAATGGTGAAAAAGAACCAAAACAGAGAGAGTGAGAGGAGAGCGACTTGGATAGGGATCTGCTATCGATCTGGCACAATGATGGGGACTGGAGTGAAAATGAAAGGAGGACAACAATCTCTCAGAGAGGAAGAAATGTAATTAGGACTGTGAGACACTCAAGAAGGAAAATCAAGAGGAAAAAAGGCTCACATTTGGTGGCAGTGGGCAGAAGAGTCAGGGCATATCAGATTTGTTCCTCTTTGGAACAACGAGGGGTGGGACACGATTCAAGTCTCCGTTCCTCTCTCTGCCCAGGATGCTTCGCGTGTCGATCCTGCTAGCAGAGTCTTAGCCCTAGTTTCTGCTCGTTATTTCAAAAATTCAAATTACACACAAGAAATAGAGACTAAAACAATCATTAAGGCTGTAAATAGAACACCCAAAAGTAAGAAAATTCTAAGAAAACTGAGGAGAGAAGGTTTTTGCAAACCCCGTGATACATACATGTATTGCTCTTCTGTTCAAGATCTTAGAGCATTTTGGCTCTTTGAAAATACACACAGCTGGATACTTACATTTAATTAAATAGTTTTTAAGATAATGACTACAGCAGCTTCAGCATAATTCACAATTAAAAGCAATCAAACCCAAAATTCAAAATTGCTCCTATTCAAATATCTAGCATCAGTAATAGCCTATATAGTTTTC